TCTCTCTCTCTCTTTTTCTCTTTCTCTCTTTTTTCCCTTTCTCTATCCTTTTTTTCAACCCATCTCCCATCTTTTCTTTACTCTCTCACTTTCTCTCTCTCTCGTTCTTTCTTCACCTGTCTTTTTTTTCTTTTCTCTTTTTCTTTTCTTGTCTTTTCCCTTTTTCTCTTTCGCACATGTCTGAAATACTCTCTCCACAAAGATGATAATCCTATCCTGTCGGAGATGGACGTTAAACTCTGAGGCTTTAATTTTAATTTTAGTAAGTGTTTTAAGGCACTTGCAACACAATAAGGTCATATAAGTACCGAAGAATAGAGGTGTTAGAAGGGAGTAATAAACACGAAATAGAAGGAGGGGAGGTAAGTACGATAGATATTTGATACGAAAGAAGAAGCAAACAACACCAGAGCACCCGCCAACCACCCACACAACAAAAAGCATAATAATATAATACGGATTAAACGCCTCTATTTACGTTGAAACATCACTATCATTAATGAGGCTAGGGAATCTAAATTGCAAGTCCATCTCCTCCGAAGGGACTGAGCATTATAGACTCACAGCTTTAGCAAGCTCACCTTACAATCCGAGGCAATGAACCCCTTACTGAGGTGTTATCCTCACTATATCGTAAGCAAGCTGTCAATAATAGATAACATTTGTATAGACCAAATCCCCGCTCAACAGCAAGCTCTATGCGCTTAACAACCTTCGTCCCTTTCACAATCGTAGGCAAGCTGTTAAAATGTACTAGTACTAAGCAAAGAAAGCAATTTTTTTTTCAAGAAGAGAAAAAACAACAACAACAACAACAAAACAAAACGTTCTTATTCTTTCAACAATTGTACCAACAGTACGTATTTTTTTCTTCCCTTTTTAACTTTCTCTATTCGATCTCTCTTTCTTTTCTCCCTCATCTTTCTCATTCCCCTCTTTCACTCTGTCATTTTTTAAAACCCCATCCTCTTTTCTCTACTTTCTCACTATCGCTCTCTCGGTCAATTATACCAACACTATGTATTTTTTCTCTCCCTTTTCAACTTTCATAATTTAAATTTCGACAAAATATTATTGAACACATTTAACCAATACCACGACGCAAGAAACAGCAGTAATAAGAAAAATTCTAAACTTTGGACCTACGACACTTTTTTAACAGCTGATAAACGAACTCTGGAATGACACCTACTGTACTGAACTCACTTCGGGCACTGATAAAAAAAAAATGTTGATGAAGAGAATGAAGAGGACAAAAAAACAACAACCCCCCCCAAAAACAAAAACAAAACAAAAACAAACCCACACACAAAAAGAAAAAAAACAACCCAAACAACTGTGAGCAATACAGATTTCCCAATTGTAACGAGCAGACATTTTTTCGTATCTCCAACTCTCTCTTCTCACTAAGGAATAAATGTGAGGCAGCGTGGTGGAATCAGGCTCTCGTCAAAATGATCAAAGTGAAGAAACTTGCATTCTTCCGCAGGTGTGTGAATTTTTATCAAATTTTTTTCTGGTTTTTGCTCAACACATTTCATACCCATTAAAAACTCATTTCAGTGTGGATTTTTCTGAAAAACGTTGAGCAAAGCCACAAAAAATGTAAATTTTCAGTTACCATGGACTCTTAAGCTTAGTAAATAACCACATGTAATCTTTGGCGGCCATTTTCTCACTAATTTTACTTCTGAAAACCAGTGACCCCCCACCTCCTTCTTTCGCAAATATCTCGACTTGTATGCAAGATAAATGGACGTTTTTGCTTCGAAATAAAGACAAGTGAACACGCTTTAAGATGATACCAATACATCTACATGCCCATAAATTGACGAGAGCCTGATTCCACCACGCCGCCCCACAAATATCCTTTGAAACGGAGAAATTCGCTACCTGTCCCCTACCCTAATAACATGACAATGCGCAAACCGCAAACCGCAAACCGCAGATGAGAAATATAATCCATTCGTTTTGGCATGGTGAAATGCTGATAGATATGCTATCTTCCCCCCCCCC